GAATAGGCCTAACTGGAAGTAGATTCACTCCATTCCCTCCCTGGCTCAAGACTCATTGCGGAGAAAAGAGGATTACCTTCCTCTCTCGTGGCGAAGGGCCTGGCTCTAAGCTACACATCCTCACTACCTCTAAACACAAAACCAGTTTACCTCCCCACAGTAAACATTTGCATTTGCAAACAATACATTAGCAATACACGAGCAAGAAAAGCAGTTTCCAAAACCCAGGAATACATCTGCAAGAAAAACATTCTGCAAAAGTCAGCAATACATTTCTATGCTATGACGATACAGCACACAGTAAGTACATTCCTGTAAAAGGAAACACGTGTGAAATACAATGCAAATCATACGGTTCCTTCCTCCCTGGGTCCTCCTGGACTCCTTTCACATCTGGTATCGCATTCCGGATGCATTTCATGCACTTTAACTCAAAATGAGAATCCTGGAGTGTTGCGCTCCCTCAGATTTACATTCCACCTGTACTCTTAACTCAAATGAAAGCATTGGAGGTTTCAACTCCACCTTTCATTAATCCTGCCTTGCTTATACCTGGCAAGGTGGGCCTTCCTCCTTGGGAAAAATCCACTCTAAACACACCTTCTTCTCCCTTTCAATGTAAGAAACCTCTCCCTCACCAAATTGGAAACCTTTCCTTAGTAACTTTACCCGAGAATGGTAAGGTTTCAACATGTTTACATGCAATTTCTTGCACCTCCCTCCCTCCCTCAGGGTCTTTCCCAACCAAATAATTCAGCTCAGATATTTTTGCCATTACAATATAAGAACTCTCCCAAGCTACTCCAAGCTTCTTTTTGGACCTTGGTTTTACAACAAGTACTCTTTCCCCCGCAACAGAAGTTCGATGTCTTGATTGAAGATCTGCGTGTTCCTTCTGTCACTGTTGTGCTGTCGACAGACTCTCAGCCGCACAGTCTCTAATTGTGGACAAATGTCTCTGCAAGTCCTCGATGGGAGTGCCTAGATCCGTCTCTGGGATCTGTTCTCGGCCAGTCCACGCCTCTCGTAAAATGTCCATCGGTCCACGCGGTGTTCTTCCATGCAGCAACTCAAACGGACTCAATTGGGTGCTTTCTTGTGGCACTTTGCGATAAGCAAATCAGAAGTGCTGCAGGTTCCTGTCCCGGTCGTGGGGGTTCTTGTGGACATCGGTCTTCAACATATGGTTCAGGGTGGCCTCGAACCTCTCCGGCAAGCCATTCGTCTGCGGATGATGAGGGGTGGTCTTCAGATGTTTAATCCCACAGCTTCTGAACATCTCCCTCATCACTTGAGACATAAACGTGGTTCCTAGATCTGTGACGATGGATCTGGGGAACCCCACGCATGCAAACATGCGAAGCAATGCGTTTAGCACGGTCTTTGAGTCAGTTCCTTTCAGGGGTACTGCTTCAGGGTTCCTTGTGGCAAAATCAACGGCAGTCAAAATAAAACAATGACCATCTTGGGTTTTTGTGGACATGGGACCAACGATATCTACCCCCACTTTGTCAAATGGTGTGGTGACAACAGGGATGGGTTGTCAAAGCCCCTTTGTCTTATCTTTTGCTTTTCCCACTCCCTGGCACGCCTCACGTGTCTTGCAGTAAGTGGTCATGCCCTGACCCATGTTTGGCCAAAAGAAACGGGCTCGTATTCTTTCCTTGGTCTTTTTAATGCCCAAATGCCCGCTAAAAGGTATATCGTGAGCCAAATTAAGTATCTTAGCACGATACTTAATGCTACCCCTCTATTCTGCTTTGGTTAGACCACACCTGGAATATTGTGTTCAATTCTGGGCACCACAATTCAAGAGAGATATTGACAAGCTGGAATGTGTCCAGAGGAGGGCGACTCAAATGATCAAGGGTCTGGAGAACAAGCCCTATGAGGAGCGGCTTAAGGAGCTGGGCATGTTTAGCCTGAAGAAGAAAAGGCTAAGAGGAGACATGATAGCCATGTATAAATATGTGAGAGGAAGCCACAGGGAGGAGGAGGGAGCGAGCTTGTTTTCTGCTTCCTTGGAGACTAGGACGCGGAACAATGGCTTCAAACTACAAGAGAGGAGATTCCATCTGAACATGAGGAAGAACTTCCTGACTGTGAGAGCCGTTCAGCAGTGGAACTCTCTGCCCCGGAGGGAGTGTGGTGGAGGCTCCTTCTTTGGAAGCTTTTAAACAGAGGCTGGATGGCCATCTGTCAGGGGTGATTTGAATGCAATATTCCTGCTTCTTGGCAGAATGGGGTTGGACTGGATGAGGGCCCAGGAGGTCTCTTCCCACTCTAGGATTCGAGGATTCAATACTACGAGCTGTGTCCTCTCTTGAAACAAAGATGGGCTCTTTTTCCTTCTGACGATTCTGCATAACTTATTCCCCACAGTTTTAAACACAATAGGCTTTTCTTCAGTGGGTTTTACATTTTCCGGGGCCCCTTCTTCCCACAGAGTCCTCAAGGTTTCCTCATGCTGTTGGGCTAGCTCAGACTGTTCGGCATGACTGAAATCTAACTGAAGAGGAATCTCTGAAAAGCCATTTTCTTCGGCTTGTGAGCTAGAAGGCAGTTCACGGGCAACATTTGCCTCAGATTTCCCCTCCATTTCGCTCTGGCTGCAAGTAATAACACTGATATGGCGACAGTGTCAGCCAAATCATTCCCAAGCAAAACTGGCACATCTAGACTATCAAAAACTCCAATTTTCCAGTAAATCTCTGGTATTCAACTGGAATTTCAGCAACGGGGACCTCAAAATTGGGGCCATAAATTCCCTTCAGCCGATATTTCTGGCCTGGAAGCCACTGTTCATTGTGAACCAGCTCTGGCTGAATCCAAGACAGCTCTGCTCCTGTGTCTCTCGGGCCTAAAAGAGTTTGACCTTCCGCCTCTACAACCTCCAGATAATCTTTCTTTCTTTCTTTCTTTCTCTCCCTACACTCCAAACTCCCATGACTCTTACAGGCTCTTCTTCTTCTTCCAGTGGGCTCTCATTTTGTGGTTTGACTTGTTTTACCACATTTACGTTGAGGGAGCTGGGGGTGGTAACGGCCGACAGGGAGCTCTGGCGTGGGCTGGTCCATGAGGTCACGAAGAGTCGGAGACGACTGAACGAATGAACAACAACAACACCACATTTACTGACTTTGGTCATGTTACGGGCTTTTTGGGGTGGTTAACTTTGGGCAGGCTGATCTTATGTGTCCCCCCACTTATGACGATGATAGCATAGAATCTTTCGTGTGGCATTAACAGACATGGCGTCCCCTCTGACAGGGTTTTGACTTCCCTTGTCAAACTTTCCTTTCTGGACCCACTCCCTTGGCTTTTTGGCAACCATTGGGGAATGACTACAATCCCGTCTCCCTCCAATTCATCCAGCCATGCACCTAATTCTGCCACCTGTTTGATTTTCTTTTCTTTGACAAACCAACGCATTTGGACTGGAATCAGTCTATGAAACGGTTCCATGCAAACAAAGTGCCTCAGCTCCTCAAACGTGGTTGTCTGGCTTCCTTGCAGCCATCGATCTAAGGCTTTTTCTACCCTGCTGCCCAATTGCGAATAAGTTTCCCCAGCCTTTCGTTTCACCTCCCTGAAAGTCTTTCTACTTTGTTCAGGAGTTAAACCAAACCTCAGTGTAGCCCTTTCCTTGAACACTCTATAATCTGTGCTCTCAGAATCTCTCAAATCTGTGTAAATTTCACTTAATTCACCACAGATTAAAGGCCTTAAATGTGCCATATGACATTGCCAGGGCTCTGCCTTATTTAGGTAGAGATTAATCAAACTCCCAGTTTTTTTTCTCAAACAGTTTAATTAAAACAGCATTTACTTGCTGGCTGTTTTAATAGACCAAAATATAAAACACAAAGCTAGCACTCAGTTACAGAATAAAAGAAAACTGATAGCAAAAACAACTTCGTAGTCAAAGGGTCCAGTCTAGTAGTCAAATGCCGAGAGTTCAATAAACAAAGTCCAGGGATCAAGAGTCTATACCGTAGTCAAAAGCCAGACCAAAGGTTCAAGGTTCCAGGATTCCAAGATTACAGGAAACAGGTCAGGATACCGAAAATCCAACAGACCTGGGGGAAAACCAGCAGCATCCACCACCAAAATGCAACAGATACTCCCAAAGATGAGTCTCAAGGTTAGCTCCTTAAATCCAGTAACACCCAGCTGCAACGCATCTCTTGCACACCTCCACCCCTCATTGCTTTCACCCATGAACTCTTACAGATTACTAAACCCTTAAGAACTAATAGTTACATTAACCCTTCCATCACCAAGCACCATGAACTGCAGAACATATGACACCATCATCCTGGATTCTGACACTTGAAAATCATGGCAGGTTCTCTCGAAACTTGCCAGGAAAGATTCAACACAATCCCCCTTCGAATAACACGGGAAGTGTTTCAGAGCCATTCGCTCAGTGGTGTTAATATCTGGGTTAGTTCTGGGAGTTCCCTCCGTTCCTCTCTAACGAAGTTCAATCATTTTCTCCTCAGCGCAAAAACCTCCAGAGGGGACTCCTAACTGACAGGCAGTCTATACCTTACTAAGGCTGGAAGACACCCCAAAGGGCACGTAGTCCAGCCCCCTTCAGCCAGCCGGGAAGACACGCTCAAGGCTCCCAAGGAATGCTATTCAGCCTCCGTTTGAAAACATCCAAAGAGGGTGTGCTGACGTGGTCAAGTGGAGGTTCTGTTATAACTTTTGTTATTTGCACACTTTGTTGATCGAGTTACAGGAATTATCATTAAACTGGGTAAGTTTCTAATTAAGAAAATAAAAACTGTTGCTGATGTTTATACAGGAAATATTAAATGAAACTTATCTCTACGTATCATTTTATCTTTAACTATATTATCTATCTATCTATCCTTACAGTAAAAGTCAGTGTTTGTATGTATGTATGTATGTAATTTTGTAGATGTATAAAATATATCCCTACATTTTCTATTATATTACAAATCTTATATGGGATTGGTTTAACCTTTGTCAGTTGAACCGACGTACCGTCGTGCAAAAAGATGCATATCGAAGTGTGTCACCAACATAAAAAGTTTGCAAAGCTCCATCTTAGAGAGACTCTCTGGAGTCAAATACCACTGTTCTCTCCACTATGAATTCTATGATGTTTACGTAGTTATGAACTCATATGTAGCTCTTTCCACACTCCAGGCATGTATAGGGTTTCTCCTCAATGCGAGTCCTCTGATGTAAACTTACTTCCACTCTCAGTGAAGCTCCGTCCATACTCCAGAGACGTATAGGGTTTCTCCCCAGTGTGAGTCTTTTGATGTGAACGTAGATGTGTACTCTGACTGAAGCTCCGTCCACACTCCAGGCATGTAAAGGGTTTCTCCCCAGTGTGAATCCTCTGATGTGAACGTAGAGCTGAACTCTGAATAAAGCTCTTTCCACACTCCAGGCACGTATAGGGTTTCTCCCCAGTGTGAGTCCTTTGATGTGAACGTAGAGCTGAACTATGAGTAAAACTTTGTCCACACTCCAGGCATGTATAGGGTTTCTCCCCAGTGTGAGTTCTTTGGTGTGAACGTAGACTTGCCCTACAAGTGAAGCTCATTCCGCACTCCAGGCATTTAAAGGGCTTCTCCCCAGTGTGAGTCTTTTGATGGTTACGTAGAGCTCCACTCCGAGCAAAGCTCTGTCCACATTCCAGGCACGTATATGGTTTCTCCCCAGTGTGGGTCCTTTGATGTGAATGTAGACCTGAACTCCAAGCAAAGCTCCGTCCACACTTCAGGCATGTATAGGGTGTCTCCCCAGTGTGAGTCTTTTGATGTGAGTGTAGAGGTCCACTCTGAGCAAAGCTCCGTCCACACTCCAGGCACGTATAGGGTTTCTCCCCAGTGTGAGTCCTCTGATGGTTACATAGAGCTCCACTCTGAGCAAAGCTCCGTCCACATTGCAGGCACGTATAGGGTTTCTCCCCAGTGTGAATCCTTTGATGTGAACGTAGGCCTGAGCTATGAGTGAAGCTCTGACCGCACTCCAGGCATTTATAGGGTTTCTCTGCAGCATGTGTTTTTTGATGTGAACAGAGACCTGAACTGCGAGCAAAGCTCTTTCCACACTCCTGGCATGCATAGGGTTTCTCCCCAGTGTGGGTACTTTGATGTGCAYGTASATTTCCATTTTGAGAGAAGCTCTTTCCACACTCCAGGCAYGTATAGGGTTTCTCCCCAGTGTGAGTCCTTTGATGTGCACGTAGATTTCCATTTTGAGAGAAGCTCATTCCACACTCCTGGCAAGTATAGGGTTTCTCCCCAGTCTGGGTCCTTTCATGTTGCTCCACGGATTTGGATGCTTTCTCCTTCATGTCAACAGTGATATGGGTGTTTAATTGCAATACAGATTCTTGAATCTTCCTTTTTTACTTTCTTGTCTGTAAATGAGGTCAAGAATTCAACAAGATCTTCACCTTGARAGGATTTCTTCTTCTTATATCATTGGYTTCCTTACTRCAYCCMRGAAGTGACTTGACAGAATCCTCATTTCCCTGGTCAAGAAAGAAGCAAAAGATCCATCGTGAAAGCCAGAAGCCTCCTTTGCCCCCAAACTTCCCCCCTTTCTCTTCAGGGGTCATGTTGAAAATGGAAATAACAAGGAATGCAGGCACTGGGGTCTCAAGCGCATACACAGAAACCAGCAAAGGCAAGCACTGATTCTWTAATAATAATAATAATAATAATAATAATAATAATAATAATAATATTAATATTWATGTATACCCCGCCATCATCTCCCCAATGGAGCGGCTTACATGAGGCCAAGCCCAAACAACAATTTACAATAAAGTAAAACCAAAAACACAAACCGAAAACGCAAACAATAAACAACAACAACATAATTACATAAAACATGTGAATACATAGCAATATAAAAATACAATAGGCACAATGACAATGACAATGGAAGGGCTACATGTAATGATTAAAAGCAAAACTAATTAAAACTAATTAAAAACTCAGGCGAGATAAAAGAGAGAGGAATCAGGCTTTCCCGCGACGGGAAGGACGGACATATACTCCAATGACAAAACGTTGATGCAAAGCAATAGTATGAGATTGTATATCTACTCATCAAATGCGCAGCGGAAGAGCCAGGTTTTAAGGTTCTTTTTTAAAGGTTTCTAGGGCAGGGGCTTTCCTAATTTCTCCAGGTAGTGAGTTCCAGAGTCGGGGGGCCACAGAGGAAAAAGCTCTCTCCCTTGTACTTACCAGACGAGCTTGTGAAATTGGCATGGGCGAAAAAAGGGCCTCTCCAGAAGAACAGAGGGCCTGATTCTTTAAAAAGAAGGAAATGAATCTAGAAAGGAGAAAAGAAGGGAGGGAGAAAAGAATGAACGATAGAAGGAAGCGAGGGAAACTTCCAATGTTGGAGCCTCACATTGATTTCCGGACAGAATTTGGCACACAAAGCCCCCATTATCCACTCTACATCCTAGTGTGGTTTGGAAGAGTTTGGACCATGGACGATGGAACTTGCATATGGGAGTTTTAGTTTACCTGCACCCACTGAACCCAGCTGGAGCACAGACAAACAATGCCTTTCTCAAATAACCCGAGCACCGCTGGGTCCCCAAGCTAGTTGAAGAAGAAAAACAACTTCCGAAAAAGGATAAAAAATGATCAAAAGTAGTATAGTGTATTGTCCATAAAAAGTCACTTAAGCATGGAAAACCAGAATCCAAACATGGATGTAAATCCAAGGCAGAACAAACTTGAACATGCGACAGGAATTGCTATCGAAACAAAACATGTGTTCCTCTGAAGACACAATATCTCAGTTGCCCTCATAAATAGTCAAAGACGCATGCCTTTTCCCTTGAGAAGCCTTGGGAGGAACCTTCTTGTCAATTAATCTGTGAGAGTGACGCCTCTCCCCGGCCAGATGTCTTTGTTGACAGATCTGACTCCTTCTATCGAAGGAGGACTCCCCTGGATCTCCAATTATAACATTCTTTTCACATTCCGACCTTGACTCCCTCGGGAAACCTAACTCAAGACGGTCAGTGCTGCAGAATTTGAAGAGGCACGAATGGAGGGCAAAAGAGAGAAACGTGCCAAAGGCGCATCAAGCCAACCCCGACCGGGACCGCCTTCTGTCTGGAAACCCTCACTGCGGGACACGATGCAGATCAAGAACAGGGCTCCACAGTCACCTATGGACCCACCCTGGAGGATTATCCTACTCGGACAACGAGGGATTGCCTAAGTAATTACCATAAGATGCAAAGTAGAGCAACAACAAATAATTCTACTTGTATATTGAATACAGCACATCTTTCCCCCTATTGCCTATTTGAGGTTGCTGCTATCCTTTTAAGCCTATCTATATATATAAAACTGTAAAGGGCATCCTTAGGCGCCCAAAAATGGGAAAACCCTCGGAAAAAAACTCACCAAACTTGGCGTACACATTCCTCATACCACAAGGTATGACCAACAATCATCACAATTCCAATACACATCACAACAAACTTACAATTTCAAAACAACACGGAGCATGTGCAGAGGTGTCCTGGGAGGCCTGGCTCTCCCTCTCCTCCCTCCTCCACGTGTTCCTTCTCCTTCTCTTGGGTGGCTGATGAGGAGAAGGATGATGCAGCCCTGAGACTGAGGCTCCCTTTCTCCATGCTGGCCGCCACCGAGGCCGGCCTGGCACTGAACCCGCCGCCTGAGGCCAGGCACGGATCTGTCGCGCAACGAAACCGCCACAGCGCTGGGAGGGGAAGAAGCAGCACGGCGCGGCTCGCCCGGCGTGTGCACATGGCCGGACCACGCCCCCTCTGCGCAAGCCACGCCCCCTCCCTTCACTGGAATGCCCCTTCCCACCCTGACCCAATCCTTCGCTCCTCCCCCTCCTCCTCTGCCGCCGCCCACACTCCCTCCGCACAAGCCACGCCCCCTCCCTTCGCCGGCCCGCCCCTTCCCGCCCTGACCCAATCCTTCGCTCCTCCCTCTCCTCCTCTGTTGCCGCCAGCTTCACCAAAGGGAATGCTTCTGGCATTGCTTTTGGGCCTCTCTCCCAGTCACCATGGGCCTCCCCCACACAATTCCTCACAGCCGGTAATAATTTATAGTAATAATGACACAATCTATTGAAATGCGTTATAATCTTTAGAAGTGGCAGTGATGGGTCTCTTTTGGGGTTTTTCGGCGGCAAACTGTGGCGAGTACCCGGCGCGGCCATCTTTGACAACAGCAAAACAACAACAATGGTGCCTTCTGCTTCGAATGTGGCCAGGATGAGGGAAAGTGCCACAGGAATAGAAACATACATAGATACAAATAATAACATTCTAGGGTTACAGTACAAATATCTTTGATATAATAATACTGTCAATAAAAATACAACATTGACCTTGAGTTTAGGAGTTGTAGCTCACCTACATCCAGACACCACTAGAGACTCAAACCATGATGGATTAGGACCAAACTTGGCACAAGCACTCAATACACCGAAATATGAACACAGATAGAGTTTGGGGGAAATAGACCTTGACATTTGGGAGTTGTAGTCACTGGAAGTCACAGTTCACCTACAATCAAAGAGGATACTCAACCCCACGAATCACAGAATCGCGGAAAACTTCCCACACAGAACCCCCATGACCAACATAACATACTTAAGCCCATCCAATCCATCTCCCTTCATCAGGGCAAGAACATGAAATCAAACTCCTCCTCACTAAGAGCCATCCAGCCATAGATAGATACATAGATAGATAGATAGATATCATTCACACAAGAGATATACTATCATAGATTTGAAAGGGACCCTTCAAGAAGGACAACTATCTGTCCCATGTTCCAGGGTGGGCAAACCAGACACTCTCCACATCAACACTGGGAAAGAAACAGCAAGAAATACTGTTTACCCACTAGCAGAAAGACATTACATAGATGAGAAATCAACACTTTCTCATTACTTTATTTTCCAGATCACCAGGCTGGGCCACAGCAACGCGTGGCAGGGTCAGCTAGTATATCTATATATTAGCACTATTATACATCTATCCATATCCTAATAGTGCTGCTGCTCTTATAGGCCTTCAAAGTTACTGCAGTTTAAAATCAGCTAATGAAGGGGGGCGACTGCCCACCCTGCAGCCGACACCACAGCGCTGCCTTCACTCCATCTTGAACTCTTATTATTATGACTTGGTGTTGGTCCGGTTCTTCACAACACTGCACATAGTTGCTGCTTACTACATCTGCCTGCCACCTCAGGAGGAGGAGGAGGAAATCCTGCTGCTTCCCCCCTCCCAAGCCAGCTAAGAGGAGGAAGGGGACTGAGGAAGAGACTTTAAAAACACCTGTCTCTGGCTGTTGCTTACTACATCTGCCTGCCACCTCAGGAGGAGAAGGAGGAAATCCTGCTGCTTCTCCCCCTCCCTCCAAGCCAGCTAAGAGGAGGAAGGGGACTGAGGAAGAGACTTTAAAAACACCTGTCTCCTGGCTGTTGCTTACTACATCTGCCTGCCACCTCAGAAGGAGGAGGAGGAAATCCTGCTGCTTCCCCCCTCCCAAGCCAGCTAAGAGGAGGAAGGGGACTGAGGAAGAGACTTAAAAAACACCTGTCTCCTGGCTGTTGCTTACTACATCTGCCTGCCACCTCAGAAGGAGGAGGAGGAAATCCTGCTGCTTCCCCCCTCCCAAGCCAGCTAAGAGGAGGAAGGGGACTGAGGAAGAGACTTAAAAAACACCTGTCTCCTGGCTGTTGCTTACTACATCTGCCTGCCACCTCAGAAGGAGGAGGAGGAAATCCTGCTGCTTCCCCCCTCCCAAGCCAGCTAAGAGGAGGAAGGGGACTGAGGAAGAGACTTAAAAAACACCTGTCTCCTGGCTGTTGCTTACTACATCTGCCTGCCACCTCAGAAGGAGGAGGAGGAAATCCTGCTGCTTCCCCCCTCCCAAGCCAGCTAAGAGGAGGAAGGGGACTGAGGAAGAGACTTAAAAAACACCTGTCTCCTGGCTGTTGCTTACTACATCTGCCTGCCACCTCAGAAGGAGGAGGAGGAAATCCTGCTGCTTCCCCCCTCCCAAGCCAGCTAAGAGGAGGAAGGGGACTGAGGAAGAGACTTTAAAAACACCTGTCTCCTGGCTGTTGCTTACTACATCTGCCTGCCACCTCAGAAGGAGAAGGAGGAAATCCTGCTGCTTCCCCCTCCCAAGCCAGCTAAGAGGAGGAAGGGGACTGAGGAAGAGACTTAAAAAACACCTGTCTCCTGGCTGTTGCTTACTACATCTGCCTGCCACCTCAGAAGGAGGAGGAGGAAATCCTGCTGCTTCCCCCCTCCCAAGCCAGCTAAGAGGAGGAAGGGGACTGAGGAAGAGACTTAAAAAACACCTGTCTCCTGGCTGTTGCTTACTACATCTGCCTGCCACCTCAGAAGGAGGAGGAGGAAATCCTGCTGCTTCCCCCCTCCCAAGCCAGCTAAGAGGAGGAAGGGGACTG